CTGTCTAAACATATTAATAATAAATCCTTCTGTGACTATTTATAAGTAAACCAAGAGCCAAATTGTAATCAAATAAGGTGTAGTCCTGAACTATCCACACCTCTGAAAAACAAATGATTTAAGTATTTTATCAGTCTCCTATGGAAGATAAGCATTTTGCTTCCCTGCAATCTATTAAGTGTCCACAGCATCTAAATAAATTTAATGCACAGATGAGAAAGTCACAGATGTTGCAAGATACATAGATCCATAATCAAAATTACTGGATTCATACACCCTGTTAAAAGCATTGCCCGTTAGCAGAAATCAATAGTGTGTTATATATTTTGCTCTATAAACAAAACCTAAGGTGTTACTGATACGACAGGAACACTGGAACAGGTACCCACTTTCAAGCATGGAGTTCAAGTAGGGGAGTGAATGGGAGAAACTGCCCTCAGTCCACTTCAACCAAGGAGTCAACTGGGCTCCTCCAAGCAGATCTCACAGGACAGGAGTTGGGGGACTGACTTATACTGAGTTCTCATTCTGAAAAAAGCATTCCCTTTGAATTATGTTTAAAAATGTGTCTCCCCTCATGAGACATGACATCTCATATTCATGTCAAGCAAATTCTGAATGTTTTACCTACAATGCCACAGCTGTTCTTGCATTTGGTTGGAGTTCGTAGAGATATTACATTGTGTTGTCCATAATTAACAATAATATTCTTTTCCCTTTCCTATGAACACTTTCTCCATACAAAACAGCCTTCAGCCTACGTGGGCAAGTAGAGTATAATAGCTGGATGCAAATCCAGGGAAAACTGGAGTAAATAAAAACATATCACAAAGAAGAAACACTGTGTCTGAAGACCCCTCTCAACAATTATTTTCCACTTGACCTCCTACAAACAGTTGTCATCAGAGAGCTGTGTTAGCACTACCAGACTGTAATTAAGTCTTCTGTATCTCATAAAAAGGGAAAACCAAGCAAACTGCCAAATGCCAACCACGAGGTAGAGGATTTTAATATTGTTAAGGGTGAGGGAGCACCTAGCTACCTTAGCGCTGAAAAACTCAGCCACTCCAGCACCAGATCGTCAGACACTCTGCTTTCCGAAGAGACACACTTCTCCTTTCCCTGCTATGCCTAAGCACTTGTTACTGCTGATGCTCATCTACATTCACCAAGACTGAGAAGCTAACTACTTGTAGACCTGTTCAGTGTCTGGCTCTTCAGAGTAACGTGTTTCCCAGGAGGAAAACACTAATTTTCTTCTATGTGTGAGCAAGTACAGCAGAAGAAAAATATCTATTTTATTACAAAAACTATATTATCAGTGGACAAAACACAAATAGTCATCTTCACATAAGGAACCTCATTCATCTAAACACTTTAGAATTACAAATATACACTCAGATGGAAACCACACTCACATAGTACCATTTAAAGCCAGTAAAGAAGGAGGTACTGAAAGAGAGGAATGGATTAATTTGCTTTCAGGTGGATTACGCTACTGATTTTTAATGTATATTGGGATTGCACTCTGCATGGATCTAGATAAAATCACTGCACCCCATTCCAAAAAATACCAGGCAACATTGTGATAGTTTTCATTTACTTTGCTAAAAATTTAAAAAAAAACTGTGATCAATACAGTTTCCTCAATAATTATATCCAAATGTAACATCAATTTTGCTCTGCAACAAAATGTCGCTGAATCTGATCGGTAGTTGTAGGACAAGACAAAATATATGTTCTTCTTTTATGAACCCTCCACATTTGCAGAATAAAAACTCCTTGGACTAAGTATTTTAGACTGATATTGCAGAATAGTAAGGTGCAATAATACAAGAAAATAATTTCAGTTGATTAACAGTATAGAGAAATTCCACCTTACTTTTATAGCAACAGGATCCACAAAGTCAGAGTGACTTCTGAACACTCCATTACTTTGGTTATAGCAACTCACATCTTTGTTTGTTTCAAAAACAAACAAAAAAAGCTTTAGAGGTGAATAAATCCTAGGTTTGAGGTTTTATCCAAGACTCAAAACATAAATTAAAGGGACTTTTAAATAAGCAAAGTGTTGGTGTGCTGCCACTCATGTCAATGGGAATAACCACCAGACAACTCAACGTTAACCTTGCTTCAACATTTTCATATCCAGCTGAAAGCACTCTTGCCTTTCAGTTGTTATGATAAAAAAAGACAAACACATGACTTGCTCTTTTTTGTTGTCAAACGCTCCATCTTTTTTTTTCTTCACCACTGTCAACAGCTAAACAACCAGCATAGGGAACTTAGTGTGTATTTTTGTGAAGTGAGTGCTGCTTTTCCAGAAACAGTTAAAGGATACCAAGACAGTCCTCTTTAAAAGCTCATGAGAAAAAAAAATGTTAAAATTTTTCCATTTTCTGACATGTTTTAGTGTTGCTGTTGTAAAAGAAAACATTTATCTGTAAACATACAATATGCACCAATGTAAAGTCTAAATAAAATGAGGCATTGCAGATCTGTTGGCAATTACATCCTTTGGAAATATCCTAAATCCTGACATGTTGAGGAAAAAATTCTGACGACTGCTGAACACAAGTAACTCCTAGTGACTTCAGCAGGAGTTGTGGATATTTCAGCCTTCTGTGGATTAAAACGAGGAGGCATGATTTTTATCAACAGAACAAGAGCTGCTCAGTGCTACATGTGATTTTAACAGCAAACTCTATCAAATCAGAAAAATTGTATCACATCGCAGCGCTTACCAAGAAAACGCGATTAGCTAGTAATCAGGGCTCAGCAGAACAGCAGCTGACAAGGTAACATGCATCACCAATATTTATTTATCTAAACTGCTGGTGCACTGTGCTCGTTTCCCATCCCTTTTTATTACCCTGCATACCTTCAGGGATGATGTACACAGCACATCAGGTGTCTCTCCCTTCACTGCTATTAAGCTTTAGGAATGCCACAACTCACTCAAAGTATGCTTCCCACTTTCACAACAATCAGCCAGCCACAGCAGAAAAAAAAAAATCCAAGGCAAACTTGTGTAAAATATTTTAATTTAGGCTAACGAGAAATGATGAAATCACCCTTGATAGCACAAGACTACTCCCATGACTGCTCATTTTTGCTGATGTACACAACATGTGGAAAGACAGGTTATTCTGGAATTGCATTAACCAGATAGGAAACATTGATGTTCCTGTATACATGAAGGCCCCCAAACACAGATAAAAACAACTGTTTTAGCTCATTTGTAAACTTCTAGATGCAAAAATGATTCAATCTGTTAGAAAACCACTTATACAAAGTGCTCTTTCATGTACTTTGCATACTAGACTTCATAAGTAAATTGAAGTTTCACAGTCAGACTAAGTGTACTGCTTTTGAGCTCTGAATACTTGAAACCGTGTATCATTGTGAAGCCAGTTTTCCTTCCAAGTTCTTAAGCAAAATCACCGCGTGTTTTGAAACAAACAAGAGAGATGTGAAAAATCCATGAAAAAGAGCTAGAGGCTGTTATTTTGGTTTATATTAAGTGACACTTTGCAAATGGCATCCTGCAAGTTATGCCTTAACTCCTTGTTAAAATGCAACTAAAATCTATATTACCCCACTTCACACACACAGGTAAAGTACATAATTGAAAGTGCACTAAAAGACTTGGGGCAAATCCATGAAACATATAAATTACTTGATTGCCTCTGAATAATAAATTGTTCCCCAGCAGATTTATAATAGACTGTTTTACTGTAGAAACACATTTCTGACATCAATAGGCACAGTTCGCTGAAGAATGAAAAATGGTTTAAAACAACTTTGGAACTGGGAAGTAAGTCGGACTGCAATGCTTCTGCTGGCTGGCCAAAATGATGTTTCATCTCTCTTTTTCTCATTGAATACCAATATGTGACAGCAAATGATCCATTTGCTTTGGATCACAATGCTATTTTCCCCACTCATCCCTGGAATAATACTGTCTCAGGCTGCTGGAGGAATAGAAATGCTATCAATTCACATTAGCTGTAAAGTTTTCCTTCTCAGCACTCCTCTACTGAGAAGCCGGGAGAGGAATGGGAGCCATCACCTTGAAGGTGCCAGTAATGATCTATGGAAAGATGTCCTGGAGCACAGGGAACTGAACTCTGTGGAGAGCTCTGTAGCTTTTCTGCATCCCTGACCGATTTCTCCATCAGCAGTCTCTGCTGTGCTCCTTGCTCTATGTACAGTGACTTTGGAAGCTTTAACACTCATCATCCCATGAACACGAAATACAAATGCACTTCACAAACACATATGCGCACACACGCTCACTCTCAAGACACACGTGCACACACACACACTCCCCCGGCATCACATGCAATTCATTCCAAGTCCCCTGTGTATTGCTTAAAAAACAGAAACCAAGCATACACACACCAAAAAAAACCCCCAAAACCAACCCCCCCAAAAAAGAAACAAAAAAACCAATTAACCAAAAAAAAAAAAAAAACCACAACAAAAAACCACACAAAAAACCAAACCCCAAACAAATAAAAAACACCCCACCAAAAAAAACTAGTCGCCCCCCCCCCCCCAAAAAAAAAGGCCACAACAAAAAACATACAAAAAACACAGAAAGGAAGGAGGGAATGGGGGGTGGGGGGTGAGGGAGCCAGGGAGAGGGGCGAAGTAAAGAGAAGCTTTTTTTTTTTTCCTGCTGTTGCTGTGGCTCCCAAGCATGCAGAGCTAAGGAAGAGTAGTTCCCCACTTTCATCAGCTAGCTACATCCTTGGGATAAAAGGGAGCAGTCCGTAATGATGCTGAGGCTGCAGAAGGCAAAATAAGGCTTTGCAAACATGCCTGACTCCCCATGAAATTCTCTCCTCCACATTCCCTTCTCCCTAAAACCTGTCCTAAATGGGGGAGGGGGGCGGAGGGGAGGACCAAAATCAAAATACCTAAAAAGCAACTAAAACAAAACAACAAAAAAAAACAACACACAAGGAAAAAAGTGATGAAAAGACACAACTCACCTTAACAAGGGGTGTTGGATGGGGTCAGAGAGGAGGAAGGGTATATAAAAAGATCTATTTTTAGCAGAGGTTGTGATAGTATTGAAACACACAGACACAGGGTTTGAAAGCGGGGAGAAGAGTATAAAAAAACGAGGGGAAGAGAAATTATCAAGAAGGTGTAAGTCAGTCTGGCAAGAGAGAGAAGAATCCCCAAGAAAAAAAAAAAAAGAAAAAATTTAATAAAAAAAAAACCAACCACCAAATGCCGAGAAGAGAAAGAGGACGAGTGGGCGTGCAAAGGGTTGTGTTTGTTCTCTTCGCTGGGGGCGGGCAGAGGCGTGCGCGGGCGGGAAGTGTGTGGGGGTGTTGTTTCGCGTTTGGCGAGGGTCCCCTCGCTGCCTCCCCGCGGGAACTGCCGCGGCCCGAAGCCTCTTCCCGGCGGCCCGGGCGGCCGGGGCTCGCTCGCTCGCCCGGCTCCGGCGGCTGCGCGGGCGCGCGCTCCCTCGTCCTCCCTCGCGCCAGCGGGCTCGCTGGGGCTCTGCAGCCGCGTCACGCCGCCGCATCCTCGGCCTACCCCGCGCCCACGCGCTCCCCGCCGGCCGCCGCCGACCCGCCCGCGGCGCCCTCCCGCCGACCGCACGCTGCGGGCCCGGGCGGCGGGAGGCTGTGCGGGGCCGGGCAGCCGGGACCGGCGGCGGCGAGAGCCGCGCCCGCGGCGGGAGCGCGGCGGGGCGGGCGTTCTCCGCGGTGCCGGCGGCTGCTGCCTGCGGAGAGGGAGCCGAAGCTGGGCGGGCTGCGGGGGCAGAAGTGCCGGTGCGGGTCTGGGGGAGCCCCGTCCCTGCCCGCGGTCTCCGTGCGGAGCCCGGGCTCCGCTCCTGCGCCCAGCCCTCCCGCGGCGCCCGTGGGGTGAAGGGAGCTCGGGGCTGGGAAGCGAAACTTGGGCATGGTGAAAGGCGGCCGGCGTTTGGACAGCTCAATGCTGTTTTATCGGCGGCACATCTGCGGCGCTCGGTATCGTTGGGAAAAGCAGCAGGAACAAACCAAGGAGGCTGAGAACTGCACTTATTTGTATTAAAAGTAGTAAAACTGCATCCAGCCTTGCCTTTCATACAGAAGCGTGGCTCACAGAGAGCGGCGCCAGCAGATGATGTTCATCCTTGGTCCAAATGGAAGCCACTCACAGCATTTTGTTGATGAGGACTATCAGCTGGTCACATTTATCTCAAACAGCTGATAAAATCCAGCAAACATCTAGGTGTTACCGAAGGAAGCTTTTATCCGACTTATCACCCCCAGGAATACTCTGTGACTAAAAATAAATCCCGTGGAAGTTGTTTTTAAGCAGATAAATATAAAAAATCCAGACACCTTTTTATATTTTCATTGTCTAGATCAAAAGAAATAAAAAAAAAAAGAGAAGAGATGGAAAATTTAAGAGAAATAATTGAGCTTTAAAAAGTGCTTTATTTCTATCTACAGTGCTATTAACAACAGTAAGTAAATATGTCTGTTTATGACTTGCGATTTTGAATTGGCATTGCCCCATAAATGATGAGAGCAAATGCAGGCCAAGCTGTTGGATTCACAACTTGCAACTGATATACAAGCTGTGCTTCAGCACCACTGCTACACTGAGATAAGCATATATAGTAAACAGTAGAAAGATATGCTCCAGTATGTAAACTCTGTAATTGTACATATTTACTCCATAAGTATATATGGTAAATAGATATAGTAAATAGTAAAAGGATATGTTCCAGGATGTAAAGTGATGCTAAGAAAGACACTTACACTAGTATCGTTTGTTGATACCTGGCAGTAGATAAAGCTATCTGGAATGAGTGTTGTGGAGGTATGTAGTGGTTGCTCCTAAATATTGGCCTCAGTACCCACAGAGAGGATGTTACATGTACTAGCTGCCTTTGTGGGTTCTGCAGGCAATCTAGTTAAACATGTTATGGCGGCCAAACTGTTGGATACCATACCATTAGTGCAATATGGCAAGGGATGTGGAGTGCCTAGTTTTATTCTCCATTCAGAGAGTGACTCTGGCCTTGCAGGAGCTTTTAGAACACTCCCATAGGGGCTCCCAGGGATAAACTAGTTATCTCTGTACTCTGGCTTATCAGTCATTATCAGCTGAAATAGAGGAGGAGGTAAAATATTTCTGAAGTGTTTCTTGGAACCAAAACATCCTTGCTAAATTAAATAGAAAAATACATTCTAAGAAACAATCAACAATTTCACTATCCTGTATTTTAACTCTTTTTCTTTTTCCAGATAAAGAGGTGCTTCCTATGGGTTTACAGCAGAGGAACTGGAGGAATAATAAAATTTCCAAACCTCTCATATGAAGTATAAATAAAATAAGAGGATATAGTTCCTTTAGTGATCTTCTCACAGGACTGAGAGGAAGAAGATCCTCTTCTGTCTTGTTGCAGGCTCAGTTTCTGCCCATTTCTTCTGCAGTTTCATCTGTGAACTAAATTGTTCAGCAGTTTAAGGATGAATCCAAGATCATGTGTCTCAATTTTTAAAAAATATATGCAAACTTATTCACAACCCCATGAAGGGGATTAAAGATATTGGAAATAAACTCTGTGCTACTTTGAGTCTTGATTTCTGCAATAACTAAGTTGGGGAAACATTTTATACATTGAAATGGGGGTAATGTTTTATCCATTATGCTGGTGCATATTTTCTTTAATTTCAGTTCATTTTCAAGAAAATATATCTCAGTTAGCATGTATTTACATGAACTTTCTTTTTAATATTTATGAGTCATCTTGCACTGTTGCAAAAGCATAAATTTACTGTAAACCACGGGTGCATTTGGTATGCAGTACAAGGCTCTGACCATTACCAGTTCCCTGAGTCACTCTATGCCCAGGAATATGGGGGTGGTACATACTGTAAATTATAACTCTCTGTCCCTATTGACTTTCCCAAATTTGCACAGACTTATTATTTTTAATTCTAATTCTCCAGAAAAAAAAAATGAAAAAAATGAGCAAACAAAAAAACCCAAAAAAACCCAAGCCCAAAAACCCAAACCCCTCTGATGAATGGTGTTATAGTTAAATGATGAATATAGTTGAATGAAAAGCACACACACTGGTAGTATTAAGGAACACCTAAACACAAAATGTTTAAAAGCCAGCATATCTTTTTAAAATGTTCGTTTCAGTTGCCACATCATAGGATCTGCATATTTAATGTCTGATTTACAAGCATAACTTGGCACTCAAGTTATTTACATGCTGGGAAGCAGAGAGTTTTTACAGCTTAAGCATACATTTAAATGTATGGAAATCATGGCAAGGGTTAAAATCAGAGATTTTTGTTATCTACAGAGCTCCTGTAGAAATCCTTTTTCCAGAAGGCAATATATCTACATTACAGATAATTGCCTAAATTGCTCAAATGACTCAAACCTAGTCAGAAAGGTTATTGAGAGAACAAGACAGAACATCTAAACTGACACAAACAAAATCATTTGTCACAGTTCATTATATTGCTTCAGGGTGTCACTGTTGCTGCAAACAGTTAATGCCGGGAGCTTTCCTCTGGTTTTCATTCAGGCTGTCCAGAGGAAGACATACTTTGCGTTTTGTTCAATATGAAACACACAAATCACGTATGTTGACAGAGCAACAAAGAAGTCTTTGAGGTAGGGAGATAAAGACTATGTCCTTACACTGTTGAGAGGTATGAACCAGGCCAATACGGATCCTTGTCAGTTGGTAGTACCTGTTAGCAGAAATTTTATCTGCTGCAGGGTAGACCTAGCCGAAAAGCACCTTCTTTGCATTCAACCTGTTGCAGATGTCTGCAGATCTCCTCTGCTGACTAGAACTGTTCCCTCAAAACCGTGCTGTAGCCAACACGAGGTGAACTTTCGGTGCAGTCTCACCTTGTGTAGTGTGTGATTCTGGGCCCCTCCAAAGGAGGGCAACAAAGCTGGTTAAAAAGCTGTCCTGCAAGGAGCAGCTGAGGACTTTAGGTTTGTCTAGTTTGGAGAAAAGGAGGCTGAGGAGTGACATCATTGCTTTCTACAGCTCCCTGAGGACAGGACACGGGGAGAGAAGTGCTCAGCTCTTCTCTTGGGTACCCAAAAACAGGCCATGTGGGAATGGTTCAAAATTTCCCCTTCCCCTTCTCCTTCCCCTTCCTGTTCCCTTTCCCCTACCCCTCCTCTCCGCTCCCCTCACCTCTTCTCGTCTCATCTCCTCTCATCTCTTCTCGTGGGTAGAGACATAATAAAAAATTCTTTCTAGATCACCAAGCATGAATTGAATGGTGCATGTTAGTGATATGTCTGGAAGAGGCATGGTACCAGTCTCTCTGTCCTTGCTAGTGGTATATGCAGATGCTGTTCTTATCAGTGTAAGTTAGAAAGTGAATTTCAGGCCAATAAGTAGACTGTCTTTAATAATATTATCTCACGCAAATGGAAATACATGTATTTATTGTTTCAGTCCATTTGAGATCCTCTGTTCCTGATGTCTAGACTTTTTTCTGTTTCACCTGAGTACGGTAAAGTGTATGAATCATGGCCAGGTGTGAGGGAAGTCCACTCATCACTTCACAGGTTATAGACATCCTTGGGAACTTTTCATGGAGCATGTCAAAACATTCATTTAATGTACACTGTCAAATTTAGTGTGAATGTACAAGCAATAGTACTTGAAGATGGTTGGGAAGTTCCCAGAGATCACAAAAGCCAATTACTTCACACTGTACCCTGTAAGAAATTATCTCTCAGTTACCTGTTGCTCTGTAAGGGGTGTAGCCTTGCAACTTTGTTTTCTCTTGTACAATGCAATAGAAGCATATGTTCCATGGGTTTTAACAGTATGATTTACCACATTTGTGAAAGAAGATTTATTTCACAAGTGATATTAAAATGTGATGTTAAAGTTCTGAAAATGTGACCAGGAAATAAAACAGGCTTTTGAATTGAAAAAAAAAAAAAATTAAATAGAAAACAACACTGAAATGAAACACTTCAGAATAGATGACCAACATGAATAAGTCTTCTGATCTTATAGTTATTGCTTTGTTAATATTTTTATGCACTTTGCCAATTATTATCAAAGACTTCTTTTGAAATGTTAGAATTATTCTATCCTACATGTCTTTAAAATGCTAAACATCCCTAATACTGTGTGGTGTTGAATGAGTTTTGTTTGGTATTTGATTGCAGTTTGATGCAACTGTCAGCAATTT